GTTGCCCAGGCGGGTCTCGAACCCGCGGGCTCAGGCCATCCACTCACCTCCGCCTCCCAAGGCGCGGGATGACAGGCTGAGCCACCGAGCCCGGCTTGGTCTTTCTTTTTTTAAAAATGTACCTCGAACACAGGATGCGGGCATATTAGTTGTATGGAAAAGTTTGTGATGTCTTTTCATCTTTAAGCCTAAAATGACTCCAAATATTTGTAGGGAAAGTACAGAGTTTTTCAGATAGAGAAAGAAACTCTCGTTATCAAAGGCATACTTCAAAATTTTAAGGCCTTTCAGAATACCTTAATTGACTTCGGTTCTGTCCAATGAGCAAAAGGACCCATTTTCTGTTTGATCAGTTCAGAGGGTTTACCTATGGCCGTGTGGTTTTTGTTAATTGGAAATTTCCCTTGGTGCATCCTGGGTATTTACCTGTAATAACAATAACCCTCTCTTATGTTCAAATATGCGTATGTCTTCATTATTTGCTTCTGACTAGAGAATAAGGTCACATTATGATGACTATTTTGAATTGCTGTCTATGTTCCCTGTTCTTCTCCATCGCTCTCTCTATATTTTTGCTATAAAATCTCAAAATTTTGAATTTAAAAAGTATACTAGGATGATATAAAATAACAGTAAATTAAGTAATCAAGTAATCCCAAGAGCAAATATTTAGTCTATGGTCCCACTTTCTCTAAAAACGAATTCAAGCAAAGCTATTCTAAGATTGCATGCACATATATACAAGGCAATAAAATAAAGAGCAGAAATTATCTTGAGGAAAAGAGAAAACAGTTTTACTTGGAACTGGAAATGGTGCCATGACTAAGCTTGAAATAAAAATTTAACATTGGGCTTTCTGACAGCCAAGGTAAAGAGGAAAGTACAATATGAAAAATTAGAATAATGTTAATTATTAGAAAATTTGAAAACAAGATTTGCCATCAAGATTAATGGTCAGGCATTGGAATTTTCTTAAAGTCTTAAGCCAGGCCTTTTCTATAATTTCTCATAATACTAATATTTTATATTTCTTAGATTAAACATGCCTAATATATAAACTTTTTTCCCTCAATCTGAATGTGAATATTTGGGTTCAGTTATAATCCTATATGACACAGAGAAAGTTCAAGAATTGTATGGAAATGTGATATCATCTAAGGCAATAATTTTTAAGAAACAAGTCAAGTGATTTGAACCTGGAAAAAATATTGAAAATGTCTTTGTATGTAAATATAACTGGTTCAAAGCACAAAGGACTCTTTTTTATCTCTTCAGTAATGGTGGAAAATTATCAAGTTGTTGGTAATTTTCTGCTTGGATATCTAGTCATTTGTGGATTATTTTTGTGGCGCATTTCTGCCCTGCTTTCTGGGAATCAAACAGAGTTTTCTAAGACAGAATAGTTTTTTTATGTTCAAACAGAGACGAATGTAGGTAGCTCTTGGATCTTCCTTGGTGGGAAGGCTTTAATCATTTAGACCTATAATTATCGAATAACTGACAGTGACAGGTAAGCCTTAGCATCGAATACTATTTGCATATAACTAATTGGCGTCTCATGTTTGGAAAGGTACCCTGTAATTGATACTGCAGTAGGCCACAAAATAGGCACTGTTTATTAAGACTCTATTTTATGTTAAGCCCTCTGGTAAATATTTTACAGGAATTATCTTCTTTGCCTCAAACGACCTGAAAAGACAAACACTTTTTCTTTTGTGCTCCATTCTGCAAATAAGTAAACTTGGAAAAGATCAGATTAAGTAACTTCCAAAGTCACACAGCCAGAGAATAGTAGAACTGAGATGCAAATGCTACCTGACTCTAGAGGCTGCATTTTGGAGAAAAATTCGTTCCTCTAAAGCCAGAACCTCCACTCGCCTGAAATTAAAGCAAATCCCCCCACCACAAAAATAGTTTTTCTTTGAAAATATATAGAGTCATTTATTTTGAATGCTTTATCTTATAGTCTCTAACCTCTGTGTTCTGTTAGTCTTATTTTCATTTATTTTTAAATTTTTAAATTTTATTTATTTATTTTGAGTCAGAGTCTCACTCTGTCACCCAGGTTGGAGTGCAGTGGCACACTCATGGCCACCGCAGCCTCGACCTGCTGGGCTCAGGCGGTCCTTCCACCTCAACCTTCCAAGTGGCTGGAACTACAGGCGTGTGCTACCACACCCAGCTTATTTTTTGATGTATTGTAGAGGTCCCAGGCTGGTTTCGAACCCCTGAGCTCAGGCAATTCTTTCACCTCCGCCTCCCAAAGTGTTGGGATTACAGGCTTGAGCCACCAAGCCTGGCTCTTATTTTATTTTTAAAAAGAAGAAATGAAAACAGACAGTTTCTCATTTTATTCACGTGCACCTTCTTCTCCCCAGGAGGACTTCCTTAGCAATACCCCTCCTCTCCACAACTCTGTCCTACAGAGCAGCCTTCACTGAGCTCTTTAATTTATGAAAACCCGTCATCCAATAGTTATTGTCTACTCATTGTTTACTTGTGTTAAATTTTGCCCCTCAAATTAGTTGCATAAGTGTGCAACACAAATTAATTACACTTTGAAAGTTATTCCTCACAAAGTTGATTTCCTAAAAGATAGTTTTGTAAATATCAAGCAATTACTTGACTGTTAACACCAAGAATATTAAAGTTCTTTGGTGAGTGCAGTGATACCTAGTTACGTTTATGCTTTATGATTTCTATTAGAATTTTTATCAGAAAAATGACATAGGTAGCAGCATTGTATAGATGCAGAATATATAATATTCTACATAGATATATCATGGAAGCTATAAGAACATATAGTTAGTCTCACAAATGTCGGGAAATATGAGAGCCAAAAATGAAGTTGGCCAGCTATTTTCTTATGTTGTTTCAGTCATGATAATATCAAGCAGTCCTTCTTTTTTTTTTGAGTTGGAGTCTCACTCTGTCGCCCAGACTGGAGTGCAGTGGCCGCTCCCGGCCACCGCAGCCTCGACCTGCTGGGCTCCGGCGATCCTTCCGCCTCCGCCTTCCGAGTAGCCGGAATTACAGGCATGCGCTACCACGCCCGGCTGATTTTTTGATTTATTGTAGAGATGAGGTCTCGCTGCCCAGGAGGGTCTCGAACCCGCGGGCTCAGGCAATCCACTCACCTCAGCCTCCCAAAGGCGTGGGATCACAGGCTGAGCCACCGAGCCAGGCTAAGCTGTCCTTCTTAAGGACACTTTTGCATCCTTGGTATTTACATTTAAAACCGCACCATTATTCTGAAATCAAATCTCATTGCTTCTCACCGTTTCTTTTTGCCATCGCTAGGCTCTCTGATTTTCCATTTTATTTTGATAACAGCCCTTGTGTTACTAAAAAGCATGCCTTTTAGCATGTGCAGTATTAGAATTAGAGATTTCATCCTGCAAACAAGTAGCATGTATTAAAAATGATAATGACATGATAGATTCCTTGGAACATGCTGTCGAAAAGCCAGGCAGCATTTCATTTTCAAAAGTGTGAGAGGCATATGTGACCACTGAATCCCAGACACCAGTATATCCTTTTTATTGACATGATTAAGAATCTTGCTGTTAGTATTTGGATGTGTTTCATTTGAACCTGCCTGCACCTGTTCCCAGAGGGCAAACAATTGCCCGGGCTGTCACTCTTGTGACAAGTCGGCCCCATTTAAACTGCCAGCGAACAATTGCGTCGGCCCGCCTTGATGAATACACCGTGCTGAGCAGCCCTTGAGTGATAGAGCGCTACCGACTGAGAGCTGACTGAGAGAGGACCCTGGTTTAGGAATGATGTGTGAGACTTCCCATCATTTACAAAGAGCGACAGCTTCCTTTTCTCTGCATTTGTGTTGGCAACCCCAGGCGCTAATTCGCCAGTTGAAAATATATTGTCAGAAACGAATGTTATAAACTGGAGGGGAAAGGTCTCCAGCCGCTGCAAATATACTTTTATGGATAGTTTGTATGATAGTGCCTATGAGGAAGAGGTCGTCGGGTACAAAGTTACAGTTAGACAGGAAGACTAAGTGCTGGGGTTGCACTCCACAGGAGGGAGGCCCAGCAAGTAACAGCAGAGTGTGGTTTTGAGAGAGCCGGGAGAG